AAAACATTACATTTTTAAAACAAATTATAATTACTTAAACTCAATGTAACTTCATGATTTCCTTGCCACGTCTCATTTAGTAAATAAAAAATTCATTAAAAGCAAATTCTTAAGATAACTTAAAATACAGTTTATCATAAAAATGACTTAAAAATGGATCTCAGAGAGTTCTAAAAAATTTTCTAAAGGAAAATAAATTTCTTTAAAAATGTGTTTGAAAGAGAAACAAAGTGACATTGACGAGGTTGCCTAATTAAGGCCCATAAATGCAGAGCTCTGTGCTCTGCAGAGTTGACTCTGGCTCAGACCACATGGGTTTGAAAACTCCCTAAGTCACTTGTGTGACTTCAATGATGTTTATCCTCTTGCAGCTTAGTTTTCCAGTCTGAAAAATGAGGGTAATTTATGTCTAATGCATCGGAAGGAGAATTAAGTAAAATAAGGCATGCATGAAAGACACTTAACAGTCTCTGGACCTGGTAAAGCTCAACAAATGTTGACAATAATGATGATAATGATACAATTTGTGCAAATAATGTGATTCTGACTTGGTATTTTCTTAATTGTAAGCCCTAACACTTAACTTGCTAGAGAATTCCTTAGTCAGAGAATGTGCAGGAACTGTGTTACTTTTCAATTCACATACCATTTTGTTCAAAAAAAAAAAAAAAGGAAGAAAGAATAAATCACTTGGGTGTCCATATTTTAAATAATCATTTAATCTGCCTTCTGTTTACTCAGTGAATTTTCCATTAGAAGTTAGCGATGACTATTTCTAAAAATCTGGATTTGCTACATCTGAGCTCACTTTGTGAAGTAAACAACTGGAAGAGAACACTGAATAACTGGCATGTATGGGCACTCATCTGATACTAGATCATAAACAAGGCCAGTAACTTAGATCTCTAACTGGAAGTAAATTAGCATTTCCTAGAAACAGAAAGAGATAGAGTCTTTTACACCATACACAAACTTTCACAAAGAGTTGCTGGGTAAAACAATAAGAAAAGCCTATTATCATCCATGGATTTCAATTCCTAGCCCCCCAAAAGGAGAAGAATCAAATGTTAAAAATTATGCTACTTAATGCAGAGCAAAAAGGTGGCATTGGGATACACTTTTCAAGGGCAGGTATTTGCCATAGGAAAGCATAAATGGTAGTTTTCTTTTTATCTTCATTTACTCTGGGGATTCTCTCGGGGGTAATGTTCTCTTTGGTATTTTGTTAGATATAGAATGCTTTAGTGCAAATGAAGAAAGCATGAGCTATTAAAGCCAAGAATATCTACTCTATCTGTAATCTTCCTTGGATTAAAGTTGAAGCAAAAAGCTATTAATGATTAGTTGTAGCTCTCGTCTAAAAAAACCATTGGTAGAACTTCATAGAACTACTTTTATCTTTTCTTTGTTGCTATGTCCAGATTAGCATATTGATTATCAATACAAACAAACCCTTATAATCAACTTATCACTTTCCTCTTCCCTGCATTCTTTGACCTGCCTCACTGTGTAGTCCAGGAAACACAGACAAAACTAGTGTTATAACTTCACTAAACTAAAAAAAGAATGAACTGAGACTTTATAAAGAGACCGGTATAATTTTTCCAGATAAAGTGAATAAAACTTTAATGTAAACAACATAATTAGTGCAGGAACTTATTAAAGTTTTAATCTCTCAGGAGGTTAAAACCCCATCATGACCTCATCATGATCGCTGGTTATATTTTTAAACTACAGAAGAAATAGCTTGAAATAGCTTTCTTTAATATCAAAAATGCTTTCCTGCTATTATGACACTATCTTTCTAAGAGCTAGTCTATCAGTATTTCTTTCAAATTAGTTAAATTCTTCACAAACTAATTGCATTACTAAAGCTAGTAGAGAGCATCTAAAAATTGTGTCACATAAATTAATAACATTAGTAAGAACAGCTTTGCCAATATTCTAAATAATTAGTGAGATCCCTCAGCATCCACAAGACCTAATTTTTAAGTGCCTTATGCTACAGTAAACTCAACAGATAATAAAAAGTTTGATAGTATAAATAAATTATCAGCAGGTCCATCTAGGGACCACTTTAAAATCCTACTTCGTGTTTTGTTAAATTTAGAAATACATGTTTCCAGCAAATGTTTAGAACTCACACAGTATGTATTTCAAATTACGTCAAAAAATCTTTCGGACATTCCCAAGGGAACTTGAAGTGAAAGTTCATTTTTGTTAACCAGTAAATCTTTATAATCAACAGCACGGCAGATCTAAAATCATCCATAGACACCTACATATTTTAGCCACCTCCATACGTCTCTGCATTTTCACCTATCCTCCCATGACTCCTTATCAGAACTCACATGCAGAAATTACTCTTCTAGTTTTAAGAAATGCAAAGGGATCGGGGAGATGAGTCGTCCACTTTTTCCTATCTTTAAGAAGAAATACGCATGTAACCCCCTCATAGTGAAGACCCTTTCCTCTAAACAAGGACAGGCACATTCATCTCCCACGTCCCTGATCCATTACCCTTTACCGCTTCTTTCCAGTGCACTTGCAGACAACCTGATGAATGAATGACAAAGTCTCCAAATGTTCTACTTCCCTTACCCTAGATCATGGATTCTTAATGAGGACAAAACTGGTTTTGGGGACAGAAAAAATTCTTAACTCATTTTATCTATAAAGCACAGATATACATACAGTATATAAACGGATAAAAAGGTTATCTGTGATATTAAAATTTCATGGGTAAGCATATTTAGGGAAAAAATAATGTTTCAAATGGGTCCTTCGCAAGATAATGAATAACAAAGATTGAGAAACACTGCCCTGGGTCAGAACTTCCCAACCAGTATTCCTCGAATGGGTTAGAAGTGTATCAAAATACTGACCTAAGGTCTGCAAAGGCGGAATAGGCCTGGGATTACAGGTAGGCCTGGTTATAAACAGCCTCCCTCTTCACCATAGTGTGCCACCCAAATATTATAAATTTCTATGTGTGCCATGACATGAAAAAGCTTGGGAAACACTGCCCTAGAGAAATGAATCTATCTACTTTCTTGGGACAATTGAGGCTGTCATTATAAGTAAGGCCTTAGTCTCTATCCCTTACCTCATACCTCTGTATTTCCACCTACCTCTGTTGAGGACTCCCTTTTCTAGGACATCAAACGAGGGGTATTCTTTCTTCCCAAGGCTTCTTTGTAGTCTACCATTTCATGGACTTGGTCTCTCATTATTCACCATCTTGTGCATCCTCAACCTCTCCTTCTCTATTACTCCTTGCCTCCTTACCAATAAATACATCTACAGCTCTCCTATCTTAGAAAAAGTTCCTCATTTCGACTTCCAGGTGTTATCCTAATTCTATTCTTTTCACTGTCAACCATTTAATAAGGAATCTAAAAGTGCTACTTCCAATACAAAAATATTTGTAAAATACATATAAGGTATAAAGAATCATAATACAAAATCATGTACCCACTATCCAATTTAAAAAATACAGCAAAGCTCTAGAATCAGTCCTTTATAGGGTGAGATAACAGAAATACTAATTAAAACTTAATAGGATTGTTGTAAGTTAAATTTCTCACTGAAATATTAGACAATATAGCTCTATCAGTCATTATGGGACAACATTTATCCTAGTGAATTCATCAACTAATATTCACGGAAGAACATTTGAACAAGTGGAAGAAAAGCAGTAATCATTCTACGCAGTGAAAATTAGAACTCTGTAGGGCCACAATATAAGAACCTGGTCGGAGAGACAAAGGAAAAAGTTGCACACATCCAACGGCATAAAGAAAGCATTGAGAGGTAGGCAGAAGAATTTAAACTTGATTTGATAGGCAGGAGAAAACCACTGCGAAGTTCATCATCTTAAAACTGATATAATAAAAAGAAGGTTTAAAAAAGATCAGTAAGTCTGTTAGTGAAATTTAATTTGCATTGAATAGGGACTAAGTCAGGAAGGCTACTTTATTACTTGAATGATGGCTAAAGTGAGACATTGGAAGACTATGATGGTGTGACATGCTTGTTATATAAATAAATGAATGAGTGAATTATGTTAAAGAGAAAAGAGACAAGGTCTGGTCATTGTCTATTGAAAGAGGATGAAGGGCCAGGTTGGATCAGGTGACTCCATGATTTTAAGAGTGGGTGACGGGGAGAATAGGGGCACCGGGAAAATGGGGAGGGGGGTCTATAAGAGAAATTTGTTGATGGACGTTCTAAAGGTACACAAAAATTTAAATGTTCAGTAGAAATTTTAGATATAAAATTAGATTTTGGAGAACGTGCCTTTATATAACCGATTTTCCTATACATAAATATACAAAAGTGAGCTATGTGTAGTCTATCCTATGACATGTTTTTCCCCAAGTGGAATTATTTTTTAAATTATATTGGCTTAGTTTATACTAAAATCCAACTTAATGACAGCCAGCCCAAAAGCTGGTAGGACTGGATTAAAATGATCTTATTAAATGGAATTCTTACAAAAATCCCAGTGAATGTAAGTATTATGATTCTCATTTTATAGATAAGCAAAAATATAAGGCAGATTTTCAAGGGATCAGCAGAGGAGTGATAGACTTTAATGGACTGAGTTGACTCAAGCGATGCTTACACCTGGCTAACTCTAATTTATCCATGAGACTGACAGGTGCAGCAACAACACGACATAAAGTAGCAGATAAACCCAAAGTATCCAGAACTGAAATAGCATATTTTGCCACAGTGACCTTAAAAGTCAGATACACCTGATTCTCAGAATAATATCTAGTGATAAGATTAAGAAATAATTCTTTTCAAAAATGCATTCTACATAGTGAGAAAAGGGGATGACACTTCCGCTGTGAGCAACAAGCTGGGGTTAGAGGAAAAATGGACGGGATGGGAAGATAAATCTACTCTTAAAATCTGAACCCTAAGATTCCTATTGGTATCTAAAGGTATGTAAAGATCTGATATCATTATGAAATAGCATATCTGATTCTTACCGTTAATAACTGGTGTGTAAACGACAATTCCGACCAAGTTTGGATCAGATACAGTTGTGTCCAGAATAAGGCCTCCAATGCTGAAAGATATAAAATCATGTAATTTAGGGAAGAGGAAAGGAAATGTACTAATTTGAAGCTTTTCTTTACATTCAAACATCCCTACTTTTAAAAAGAAAATATTTAGGCATTAAAAAATAGAATAAGAAGAAAAAATATTCGAAGTGAAAATCAATGTCAAAAGCAAAATGCTGAAAATAAAACAAGGCATAAGCTGTAGCCCCACATATCAGGGCTCTTTCTTATCTCCAAGATATGCTACTTGTAAAAAGGAAAAACACACACTTTAAGTGCATTAAAATGTCTGGAAAGGCATATAAGAAATTATTAACAATGTCTATCTCTAGCAGATGAGACTGAAAGAAGAATAATGGTCATTTTATATACTTCTGTGCTTATTAATTTTTAAAAACCAAGTGCATTTATTGCTTTTATAATTTAAAAATAATTTTTAAAAGAGCATCTTTTCATATTTGAACTAAACAAGGCTTTAAAGGGCTGATTTTTATTGTATTAAAACCAGATATAGTTAGGGTGTGTTTTATCACTGGTATATTAAAATAATGAGTTGTAGCTGTAGAAAGAGCTGATCTTGAGAACAGAGGTCTGGAAAAAATGACATACAATTATACGGTGGCAAGCCGTACACTCGCAATGTCTCAGTGGAGCTTGGAGACTTGTTTTTTTAAGTTTCCAAGACCATTATCTATTGGTTAACTTCAGTCTCTTGGTCTACATACTCTGAAACATTGCCAGTCCCAATATTCCATGGGGTCCTGTTGCCTAACTCTTCCAGGAAAATGTGATCCTCATTACAGTAAAACGAACTATATGCTGTTACAGAATGGGGTTTATGGTCAAAACACCAGATTAAATGTTCTTACCACTACTTGATAGTTAACGTTAGGAAATTATTAAATCTTGATTATTTAATTCTTTAGTAAAATAAATGAATAGGTCAATATGCTAAACTGCTAGAAGTTCCCATTAAAAGATACACTATCAAGTCCAAAAATAGTCACGCTAGAAATACCTGAATATTTTAAGCCAAATTTTTAAAAAATACGTATTTCATAGAACAAACTGGTTACGTATAAAAGAACATATCTCCCTGCCAAAACACAGAGATATGCTGTGGATATGACATGAACACTTGATAAAATACATTTTTTATATTTTTGTTACCCAGGTAATAAAACTTATAGAAAAATTAGAAAATACAAACAAACAAACAAACAATAAAAGAAAAATCAACTGTAGTTATATCTTTCGGAGTTACACTGTTAGCATGTTGGTATACAACTTCTCAGGTTTAAAAATAAAGACACATTATAAAAGTAGTTTTCTCCACTTCTATTAAATTTTATTTTTATCAAACATGTGCATTTAAAAAGTAAAAGTACCACAAAGCTTATTATATAGTCTCACCCCTTGAGTCTGCTCTCCGCTAGCAATTCTTTTAAACTTCTTTAGCTGTTACTTCTTGTATTTAATTTTGTTTTTTATAAATAACACGTTTTTACCACTATTTCTTGATTTTTAATTTTTACCTAATGACTTCTACTCTAGCAGATGAGGTTTAGTCTCACTTACCCTTCCTTCCAACTTTAGTCCCTTCACAATTCTCTTCCTCTCTCTATCCTGGTTATAATTTTTGGTGAAACATTTAGGGTTTATTATAACGCTGGAATCGTTATTCGCAACTGAGCCACAAATTGTATTATTAGATTTCCTCACTTGTACTTTTTGGTTTGCCTCATATTTTTCTTAAATTTTTAGCTACTTTTTAGTAATTCAGCCTCAAATTTGTAACCAAGTTAATGAAATGCCTCTGAAGACATTTCAGGTAACTGGTCAATTCCACTTTTGTTCTTCTTAGAGACGTTTCTCCTTAAGCCCAATGTCCTCCTGCCAACCTAGACTGTTGCTTTGGTGCACAGCTGTCATCTGTCATCTTCCCATGCTGCGTCTTGGTCTATGGGCTGTGACCAAGTCCCAATATTTCATAGGATCCTGTTGCCTGAACCTTCCAGGAAAAAGCAATCTACATTACACAAAAATGAACCACATGCTATCGTGAAATATATTTCCTCTTTCTTGTGTCAACTTATTTCCTCATTTGGATAAGACCATATCTTCTATTAGCTTTTTTATATGAAAGGGTTCATGGGAAATACATTTTCTGAGATCCTGCATTTCTGAAAACTTCTTGAATCTATCCTTAGATTTGGCTGATACTGCGACTATATTTTATGCTCAAAATCATTTTCCTTCAGAATTATGAAGGAATCACTTCTGGTGTTACTACTGGATATCATTGATTCCCAATCCTGTATATGCAACTCGCTTTTTCTCTCTGAAAGATTTTGGGGTTTATGATAACATGCTTTGGTTTAGTCCCTCCTATTCCAATTCATTGTGCTGGGTCCTCAGTGGGCCCTTTCAATCTGGAAGCTCATGTTCTTCAGTTCTGGGGAATTTTCTTGTATTATGTCTTTGATAGTTTCCTCTTCTGATCATTTGCCTCCAGTTTCCACTGTTTTGCTCTCTGTTCTACTTTCCAGGATAGTTCCTCAATCTTATCTTCTAACTTTCCTATTGAATTTTTTGTTTCTGCTAGTTGTATATTTTTAAATACCCAAGAGCTCTTCCTGTTTTTCAAGTCTTCCTCATTAAAGCATTCTGTTCTTACAGTGTAGATGCCATAGCTTCAAATACCTGGACATCCTTCATTGTCTGCTACTCCTTTAAGGGGCACCACAAAGCATACCTGGAGCTGTGTACCTGGGCAGAGCTTGTCAGCAGGTGCGCCTCATTGAATAATGGTCAGGCAGGCATGTAACTCTTTCACTAAAAGACCCACAAGGGTCAGTATCTACAGTTTTTAATACTGTGCTGATAACTTTCTCCAGGAAGATATTATCTGATTTTTTTTTGCCTGGGGGTATAAGCCTGACTGCCAGCAGTCTACAAGCAAAGAAAAAGAAATGGGATGGGGGTTTTCACTGTTCAGCATATATAGACTTTCTCTTAATCCTATTTTTCATACAAGGCTTAATGCACATCCTCACTTGCGTAGGTGTTTCTGAATCCAGAGCCTCTCGGATTTAGTCTCTCTGGAGTTAATTCTTGTCTTCTGCTAAGGTGGGAGGGGGCAGTCACCTGGGTCATCAAGCTAGAGAAGGGCATTAAGGATCTAATTGCTTCTTATATAAACTTTCAACCAATCTTCTCTATTTTGGCTTATAGATGTACTTTAGGGCTTCTTATTCCTCCATCTTTCTGGGTTTCTGAGGCTCAGATCCACTTTTTTCTCACCCTGTGGGTACTTTCTCACCCTGCAGGCACTTAGGTTTTAGCTTTTACATTCTGTTAGTTAACAATCATCCATCTGATTCCTACCTTACTAATTACGTTGGCTCTCACACCTGCTGTCCCCTCTGCTCTCCTTCTGTCCTTGTGGTTTTATAGCTTTTTATTCTTTTGCTATGATTTTAGCAGTTTCAGGAAGGATGTTAGACACCTATCAATTTACCATGTTTAACAGGAAATTCATACTCGTTTTTAGCGTATTCTTATCAAAAAAGGTATAATGAACACTTTTCCACATCAACAGAAATGTGACAATGTTGTTTTTAATAGCTGACTGATATTCCATTTTGTGACTAATGCCACACTGTATTTGATCAATACCGAACTGCTAAGGCCTCTATGCTAAGGCCTCTATGGTGTTCTCTCTCCCCTCCATTTATTACCAATTCCACTGTGATGACTATCCTTACAACTAAGTCTTTTGCATATATCCTTAATTATATCCTTAAGTCCTGTCAGAGTCCTAAAAGTGGAAGTAGTCAAATGGTATATACATTTCTAAGGCTTTCTGATACCTATCTGAGCAATTTACTATTAAAAATAATGTTTTTTCAGCTTAAAACACACACACACACACACACACACAAAGACAAACACCACTAAATTTTACTCAGCAATCTGATAAGGATTTGGTCGGTGAAAAGTTTGAAACTGGTAGCCAAATGAGGTTCTGTACATCTATCTATTTCAATAATTCCTGTCATTTATTTCCCTTATTACCTAGGATAATAAAGACTTGGATGTAAAATAATTGATTCAAAAAATAAAAATAGGCAATTGATTTATTTTAACATACACACAGATATATGCACATGAACTACAAACACACACACACACACACACACACACACACACACACACACACACACACATTTTCATACTAACCTACTTATAACCATAGCCGTTATGACAGGTTCCCAGCCTGAGTGGAGAACTGTCCTCGTGGCTGGATGTTTGGCAGCTACTATAATCCAGATAGGAGTTAGAGCCAAGAAAAAGACACCGACTAATGGAGAAATGTAGTAATAGGTCTCTAAAATTAAAAAAAAAAAAGAGACATTTTAATCTCTCTTCTAACCATGTAGCAAATTTAAATGTTAAAGTAAAAGTTTACCAGAAGATATGTTATCGAACATATTCATGTGCTATATAGTATCTAAAAATTTCAAAAAAAATTAAAACTATATAGACAAGGTAAAAATATTAAATAATGTAACTGAAAACTATTACATAAATTCAACAAATATTTATTGAAATAGCTATGTGGCCTAGATAGGAATAGCAATAATAGTAATAACAATAAGAACAACAACAATAAAAAAAACTAAGTTATTTGGCTCCTACTATTTACCAAGTACTGTGTTAAATGCTTTATATTCACCATCTCATTTAATTGTCCTCACAAGTATGAGGTAGATACTATTGTTTCTATTTTATGAAGAAACTGAGGCACAGGAGCTTAAGATCGCAGCTAAGAAATAGCAAGAGTTGGGAGAAAATGACATCTATCTGCAGTTAATGCACTTAACTCAATTCTAAAGTCAAATAGAATATTGTTTTTATCTACAAGGATCTCACAGTATAAGTATTCCATGGAATATTGGCTAACCAACTGATAATAGATATCCCCCAATACTATGTAGTATTCCAAGCTCCAAAAAAAAACATAGAAAAACTAGGTTTAATAGCGTTAAACAGATTTCTTCACTGCAGAACTACTCATAATCTTTAATATGCTAAGACAGAATATAATATGCTGTATTAATCAGAGTTTGGCCAGATTGTCTAGTTTCACATCGAGGTGTTACAACCTACCTTGGACAAGAAATTTAACTTCTATAAACTTTAATTTCCTTCTCTATAAAATGATAACAATAACAGTACCTATTTAATGGGGTTCTTGTGAATCTTAAGAGAATTAACACTTTAACTAAAACAGTGCCCATGCACATAGCTAATGTTTACTGAACTCTTACTATCATCATCATCACCATCATCATCATCATCACTATTAACATCTTGCTATTCAGGACACACTGAGGCAACAGATTGCCAGGACTTTGTTATACCTCCTAGTGGCAGACTGTCTTACTTGATCACAGTTATTCATTCTCTCCCCAGTCTTGTGATGCTTTCCTATAGAGAGTGTTTACTTCTGCCTCACTGACTTTGGGCTTGGCTATTTGTCTTGCTTTGTAGACATGATATATGCATGATGTATGCTTCTTCTGAACAAAATTTTAAGTACTTTCAGAAATGACTAGAAGATTTTACAGATAGCTAGACAGACAGACAGATAGATAGATAAATGGGCGAACAGACAGATAGATATCAATTGTCTTCAGTCACTAGACAGCAGGCATTGCAAGACTGTAATCCCTGAGAGAAGGGAAGAAATAAGCCCTGTGATAGCCTCAGCTTTCTGACTATAGGCACATTCCAGACCACAGCTTAGGAAGGGAGAACTCTACCAAAGTGAGGCTCAGACAGCAGGAGTTTACAGGGCAGAATACTGGAAAAGAGGAAGCTATCAGAGAAAGAGCTTGAGAACTGAATATCAAGCCATAGGGTAAACTCCACGAGGCTAGTCCAAGAATCATTGGGGATTCGTAAACTGAGAAATTTCCAGCTTCCAAAGGGCTGGAAGTCATTCAAGATCTAACTCCCTAGACAGGTGTGGCCTCTTTGAATACTGAGAACATTCATGTCTTAGTGGTAAACCTAGTCCTAGTATGAGGTCTGCTCTAGATCTGCCCCAAAAAGCATAAAACCAAGCCTTGTAAAGCTCAACCTAATCCACAAATAACAGCCTACGAGAACGAAGCCTAATACTATGTAAAGAAAAGCAAAACAATTGAGCACTTAACATTAAATTCACAATGTCAAGCATCCAACAAAAAATTATTTTTAAGAGTTTGGGATATTTGGTAGATTTACAAACTTAGTTAAATACCCTAAGGCATTCTACTTACGTTAGACATTTCATGGACCTCACAAAAGTATCCAAGTACTTAAAATAATCTCTATACATCTAATAAATCTAATAAATTACATGTACAAATACGGTGAGTCTTAAGTTTTCATAAATATTCATATAATGTATATAAATTTGGTAAGATTTCTATTTAACAACCACAAGAATAAGTCAATTACTTAATCATAAATTTAAAAATGCAATTAGAAGACTAACATGTTACTCTACTGGGCTAAGTAGCAAGTATATAAAAAATATGTACTGCCTTGTTAGCTTAACACTGCTAATATCATGAGTTGAATTCTCAAATATTTTCAAACTTAATTCTAAATCTCCCTAGGATTAAAATAGTTGCCTGTCCTTTTTAAAACAGTTACATCATTCCAGGACACTTTAGTAATATTCTTTTAGCTTATCAAGGTTTTATTATTATCAGAGATTTCAGCCAGGGCATTCTGGATTCTTCTCAATTATTCTAATACCTATTTTGTAGAGTGGAGATTTCATAGCTTAAAGATAGAGTTGATCTCATAGTCCTTGTAGCTTACAGCCTTAGATTTAAGTTGAATGCTACTAAATTTTTCTGACATTTCACAAAATTCTTCAACCTATGCATACTCTTATGTTTAATTAGATTTTGTATTTCTTCATTTTACTAAGATATTTAAAGATCTCACCTATGACTAAAGATGTCTGAACTAGATAGAAACTTGGATTTTATTTCTGTCAGGTAGGAACAAACAATAAATATATGTATATTAAAAAAATATCCAAATAAACTTTATTTTCATGGTTTTATCTGGATTTGCTGTCACATCTTCAAATAATTATACTAACAAAATTCATTTAAATATTTTCTTCCATTTAAAAGGATATGGCTAATGCTACATATAGTGCCATTTTCTCCATGATTTTTTAAAAAGTGCAAAAGCCTTTATTGAATGGATTCCCAGTTCTCGTTTTTAAACCAATGGATAACGATAAATAATATCTTAATTAGAAGCATTCTTACCTCCTAAAACAACTAAGGTTGCCAACAATCTCTTTACAGGATTAAACAGAAAACTAAAAGCATTAAAGTCCATTAAACACAAATGAAAAGAACTATTCTGCTAGGTTAGATCATCTTAATATTTCATTTTCAGGTCGAGAGAGGAGTATCTCGCCAGGCTTTTAAGTTATTCCCAATATTAAATCTCTAGAAGGTCACCTGAAGTTGAAAAAACAGCCACCATCCCCAATCCAGAATTGCTGTCTGAATTTTCAAAGAAAAGGAAAACTTTCTCAGGAAAGGAACTAAAAATAATGAGTGAGCAGTTCCTCGAAAACAAACAAAATTATCATATGACCCAGCAATTCCACTCCCAGGTATGTATTAAGAAAACTGAAATATTATGTTCATGTAAAAACTTGTACAAAAATATTCATATTATTATTCATAATCGCCAAAAGGTGGAAGCAACCCAAGCGTCCATCATACGGTGAACAATAAACAAAATGTGGTATATCCAACAATGGAATATTATTCAGCCATATTATTAGTCCATACGATGGACTATTACTCAGTACTGATTCACGTGATGACACAGATGCACCTTAAAAACATACTAATTGAAAGAAGCCAGACATAAAGGGTCACATATTATATGATTCCATTTTTTTGAAATGTCTAGAACAGGCAAATCTATAGAGATGGAAAGTAGATTACTGGTTGCCAGGGGCTGGAGGAACAGGGAGTGACTGCTAAAGGCTTCTTCTGGTAGTGATAAAGATGTCCTGGAATTAGATAATAGATCACATAATCTCATGAATGTACAAAAACCCACTAAACTGTATACTTTTAAAAGGTGCACTGTATGATATATGAATTATATCTCGACTTTTAAAAATTCCAACAATGAAAAAAAAAAGACTATATTCTTCAAAAATGTCGATGTTATAAAAGACAAAAACTACATACGTTTGTACACACATATATACGGAAAGAAAATGAAGATAAAGCAAACGGGGTAAAAATATTAACATTAGGTAAATCTGGGCACAGGGTGTACAGGGTTTTTCTTGTACTACTTTTTTTTTTTTTTTGCCACCATTCTATGTTTGAAATGATCTCCAAACAAAAATTTTAAACATTAAAAAGTGTGAAAAACATGATAAAATAAAAGCTTCTAAAATGATTTACTGTAAATGTATCCTACTTCAATTTCCTAGCAAATCTGATATACCCATTCCTGCCAATTAGGTCATGTGTATAATTATTGTATAGGACCCTCCTACCTTTTCCCTGGCTAACTTCTAATCCAATTCTAATAGCTAAGGAAAAACTAAAAACACAGAAAAAGGGAAGGTGCTAAAACCTTCCTCTTGTTAGGATATACTGGTTTTATGGATGTCATAAAATTAGACAATGGCTTTTAGAAAACCGCTAATGACACAATTGGCTCAAGAAAATGGTCAATTAAAAGTCAACCATAAACTTCTGCATTAATATCAAAACCTAAAAGAATGTCTTCCTTCTAAATGAAATATATTTAAATGATCCTAATCAAAATAACATTTTGTGTTAATTACTGAGTAGTCATAATGGGCACTGTGGCTGAATAACGGCCCTCGAAGACATCCATATCCTAATCCCCCAAATCTGTGAATGTTATCTTATACAGCAAAATCTTTCTGAATCAAGGCTTCCGAAATGGGGACGTCATCCTGGATTCTTTGGGTGAGCTCTAAATGCAATCGCAGGTGTACTTACTGGCAGAAGGAAGAGGGAGATCTGACTACAGAAGAAAAAGCAAAATACCCATAGAAGCAGAGACTGAGTAATGTGGCTAAAAGCCAAGGAATGCTAGCAGCCCCCAGAAGGTGAAAGAGGTAAGAAATGGATTTTCCTTTGAAATCTCGAGGAGCAACTTGCCCTACTGACACTTTGATTTTAGCCCTGTATAATTCATTTTGGACTCTGGCCTCCAGAACTGTAAGAAAATTAATATCTGGCGTTGTAAGCCACAAGGTCTGTGGTAATTTGTTACAGCAGCAATAGGAAATGAATACAAGTAATA